CCTGAGGTTGTAGCTAAAACATAAAAAAATCAAAGGTTTCTTTGATATATTTCTTCTGTATTATATCTGTACTAATAATCTAGACTCCATCCAACAATCGAAAGAAATTTTCGCATTAGAAAAATGATGAGTTTTCGAATCACACTATTTCGATTCTTTCTAGTGTTGACAGTTTGGGAAAAAAAACTTCAAAAATAAACCTTATTGAATAATTTTGATACTCCATCAATATTGAATCAAATTCAGTGATTGCTCATCTCAGAAATTAGAACTTTATTAATAATCACAGCTGCATTAGACAACACTGATTCTGACATTCTATGCCTTTATTTTTATGAAATTTCGTTCGATTTCAATTGGATTCGAATTATAATCATTCGTTTCTTTATATAAAAATAAACATTGTTCATAAATCGAAACACAAAATCTTCATTCTATGTAAGCATAAAAAAAATTTACATATCTAATAAAATATTATTACAGATACAAACCTGTTGTTGTCATTTGTTCGTTATCATGCGACTAACAAATGAATAGAGAAAAAAACACGAACGACAAAAATCTAAAGTCAACTTTTTTTTTTGTTACTCTTACCAAGCCGCTATCATATTTCACACACACATATTAATCTTTATACTTAAAGATAACAAAATGCATACACACACACATATGACGCTCAATTTCCCTTTTTTTTTTCTCCTCATATATTTTTTTTTTCATTGTTTCTTTACAATTATTAAATATAATTAAGATCGTTTTTTCTTGTCCTTAGTTTTGGCATTTGTAGGAGTTACTGAAATAATTCTATCTTGTTCCATTAAATCAATTGGTGATCGAATATGAATAAAGTCATGTTGATTAGGTCGTGCAAATTGTTGATTATTATCATTCATTTCAATTTCATCACGAATTATAGAAAGACGTTGAAGTATAACACATGTTTGTTGACCTCCTAATGAAAGAAGACCAGGAAGTTTTATAAAACGACAACCGAGACCAACAGTCTAAAATAAAAAAATCAAATTTGAAAATGATTTTTGCTTTTATATTTTCATACAAGATCTGCTAAATGAATTTGTGCTACTTCTTGATGATCTCGTTCAAATAATCCCAAAGCATATCCATTAAGTTCTATGTGAATAAAAGAAAAGTTTCTTTTTTCTTTCAAATAAACAGAAAATAAATCAAATATTTACCACGAAATGTATTTATTCTTTGTATTAATTCAGTAATTGTTGGTGCACTATCTAAGGATAATAAATGACAATTAATTGTATTATTATCATCATTATTATCATTTTGATAACGACGTATATCCGTTGATGTTATATAGCATTTATTTGATATTCGATCACATAAACGAGATAATGATGATTTATCCTAAATATATATATATTTATTATTATATAAATATTCAACAAGAACAAAGAAATTTTACAGCATATCGAAAAGGATCAATTAACATAATACAACGAGGATAACTATTAATTAAATCAGCATAAACATCAACTAATTCATCAGATGATTTTATTACACCAGACGTTACTTCATATTTACCACGTGTCTATAATAATAATATTTTCAAATTTCAAGATTTAGAAAAAAAAAAAAATCTTTCACATAATCAAATATATCATATGGTCCCATTTGTATGGCATAATCAAACCAATGCTCATCAGTACCACATACACTATTAATAGCATTTTGTAGTAAATCAAAACCTTGTTCAAGTTTATCCATTGGAAAAACAAGACATCCATCATCAGTAGAATAACTTGATTGAAGCTGAGAAAATAAAGCAAAAAAAAAAGTAAACATTCATTTATTTTTGTGTAACATACAATCGCTCCTTTAGCACTTGTTAATGAATCACGTAAAAATTGTATAATATTGTGTACTTTATGTATCCACTATGGAATTGAAATTTGAAAGAAAAAAAAAGATTTAAAAACAAATCTACCTCTTCATTATGTATTATATTAGGTGTTGGTATAAGCATAAAATATTTAATTAATGATTGTTTACCAGGATATATTGGTCCACTTTGAAGAATAGGTATAATTGGTAATGGCATAGAAAGATTTGTAATAGATGGTAGTTGAATAAGACGAAATAAATTTGATTGTTTTATTTTAGCAGTTATTAAATGACAGGTTAATGATATACCTGTAATTAATAATTGACCACCAAATGATAATGGTTCAGGTTCATCGGGAATAATTTCAACCGGTTGTGTATCTTTACCCGCTCTAGAAAATATAAAAAGA